CATCTGGGTCTCTTGCAGAGCTCCTTATAAGTTTTACTTAATTTGCTGGCTTTTTATACATCAGCTCAAAATAATTTATACTAACTGTGCTTAATCTACCTAAAGGTAGAGCTGGCTTTAAGTTTAGTTGAACACAAGGACTAAGGTTCACACATTGCAATAAGTCATAATTTATCATTTGCAAAATACAATGCATTTTAAGTCAACACCAAATCATGTTATGAATGGAGTATGTGGACCTGATACATGAGGCTGAGAATTTTAATGTCCAATTTAACTTTCTTTCCACAAATGAAATTAAAATACCTGCAAGAATGAATACAATAACAGTACCCATATTTAAGAGATTTAACCAGATCCCTCTTGCTATTTTCATTATGGTTGCACTAGCTTCAGGAATTTGCTGTGAAGTATCTGTCACAGTGTATACCCATGTTTTACTTTTTGTTTTCACTTCAAGAGTCCTTATGGTTCTCTAAATAATAGTGGAATACTGAATCAAATGAAAACTGATGCAATATGATATATTTCTACAGCCGATTATAATATTATATTTGGCTGTAGAAATATAGCTGAGTAAAGAAAATGTATACAATGTCATGGCTTTTGCTGTTGTCAGAATTATGAGTCAACTTTTAGAGCTCTGAGTAGGAACTAAGAGGCAATGATGAATTCTAATCAGTAGACAGTCCAAAATAATGTTATGGAATCATCTTAAATAGAAATTTTTAAGATGAGCATATACAAGAAAGAAGCAGATCAACCTAATGCTCTCTAGATATTTTGGATCATAACCACCATAGTCCCTGACACTGCCAATGCTGCAGATGGTTCTTGTAACTAATTCATAATATGTGGAGGACCTGGGACTACTTCTTGCACTTGAAAATTTCTTGGGTAGTGACTTTGTCTGCGTTTCCTGACACAAACATCCAAAGAGTTTTCTTTGGATGGACAAAAACTGAGACAAACACCAGGCAAAAATGGTGACTGGTATTAATTCTTGCTTTGAAAAGCAAGAATTACAAAAAAATAAATAAATCAGTAAGTATGGTGAGATGGATTATATTTTTATACAACTTCATACAATTGTAATTCCAAAAGATCTTTAAGTTCTTTCCCTTGCCTGAAATATACTTGGAATCTATCTGAGCATTAAAATGGGGCTGAGTTTATGTGGTGAAAAAAGTTTTGCATGTCATCTATAAAATCCAGTGGTTATTTTCCATTAAAACTGTTGTTCTTGTAGAAGTACTGTATCAAAAAGTAAAAGTATTAATATATCAATAAAGCAAGATTGTCTTAATATGACATGTCCTAAGTTCATTACTTCCATGTGTACCATTTTAAAGATCATGTTTACTGTTTAATTGAGAAACCTCTGCCTCACACTGTGGATTTAGAGCTGCATTTGCATTAAGCTCAGAAATAGAAACATCCTTATATCCCATTCATTTCAGAGAAGAGAAAACCAACCTCCTTCACTGTATAATTCAAGAGCCTGGAACAGTAAGGAAAGGCTATCACAGAACGCAGGAATTAGGATTAAGCGAATGACAGAATTACTCAACATTATTATTTCAGTTTTGAATGTGTGTATTAGTTTCTGCATTGTAACCTTCAAAGTGTCAAATAAAATAGACATAACCATATGTTCCTATTGTAAAGATTAATAGTGAAGTTTCCTTATCTTAGTAAGAGTGTAACAAGAGTGTTCTATTTTACTGAATGTAGTCTTCTGAAATTGAATTAAAAGCAATGGATTAAAAGCAAGATCTACTATTTCAAAATCATCAAACCACAATATAGTTTATTTAAATGTATCAGTCTATATAAATGCATCTCCATCGTTCACTCTAAAGTTAATTAAAGATCAAGAACTGTAAACAGAGAAACCAAGAGGCTCATCATGTCATATTTTGACAGGGCATAAAAAGGCATACACTTCCCACAATGCTAAAAATGTTCTATTGCTGATTAAGCCATAATAATTATTTCCATATTTGCATATAAATATCAATCAGTAAATTAAAATATGATGCAACCCTGCTTTATAATTTTATCCTCTTTCTCAGAGATGCCTTCCTTCTTGTTGATGTCTCAAGGACCCATCAACACAGCATGTTGTGATTCTGATGGTTTTTTCTTATCTACTATATGTTATATTAATTTTGCATTGAATTTGCCCCTCCCTTTAAATTTGCCCTTCCCACCTTGATTTTGAGAGAACATTTGTTATTTTGAATAAGTAACTAGTTTTTCTCATTTAAATAAAAATTCTACAAGATATACAGTAGGTATGAATTACTCCTGAAAGCCAACATTTCTAATGTACGGTAGATATGGAATGGAAACAAAACAAATAATACAAAAAAAAAAAGAGAAAAAGAAGGGAAGGGTGCTAGTAATATAGGTAGCAGAAAGCTGATTATGAAAAATCAGAAAATAAGAACAGTCCCTGAAAAATCAGATAAATTTAAATATATGCAGTATCTCCAAAATTAAACCTCTTTGTTACTTGGAATTCAGTACATATGAAGCAATGAACAATTACCTCTGAATAAAGGTGAATGTATCTGGACTGTAAACTGGAAGGGATCTTGATCTACTCATACCTGGAATCCCTTTACTAAGTAGTGAACTATCCAAAAGACATGGGCATTTATTTATTTATTTCCTTCCTTCCTTGATTCCTTCCTTGATTCCTTCCTTGATTCCTTCCTTCCTTCCTTCCTTCCTTCCTTCCTTCCTTCCTTCCTTCCTTCCTNATAATTGTCATAATATATTACTGTGTTTTTCAGGGTCACATATGCTCAAGGGTATTTTTAACCATACTCAATTCATAATTCAGTCTTAATCACAAAATAAACTGAAAAGCCATCATTCTTCAACTGACACTCATCACCTGTGATTTTTGTTTGCCTCTTTTAACAACATCGCGAAACTTCACTCTTGTAGATAACTTGCCTTCTTTTCTTTGTACCGCACTCAACAAATGATCACCTATCTGCAAAAAATATATGGAAAAATTGCATTAACTTATATTGTCTTCTTATTTTCTGCATAATAAATAAGTGTAGCCAATACTACGGACATAAATTATGCCTTACCAGGAGATGGAGAAATGAGTGTGCATTAGATTTTTTAATAAGCAGAGAAAATGGAAATATTATGGAGGAAAGTAGAAGATTTTTAAGAATTAGTTTTTGTGCACAGCAATAGATCTCACTTCTTTTAGTATCAAGAAATGTCAGTTAACAGAAGACTGAATATTAAAGAAAACGAACAGATGACAAATCCACCCCCCAATGCCAGATACTTTGTTGTGTTCCTTACTTCATCCAGTGCTGGATCATGTATCACTTTGCATCAGTAGCTCTGAACTATCAAGTACACACAAAAACTCAATAGATCACCAAACAAACCACTTTTGGGAGTGGTGGCATTTGCCACAAGTCCAGAAAAAATTCAGTTCTTGACCCAGAATTCTGACCTCAAGATTATTTGGATTTCAGGATGTTTAGTCTGCTAACATGAGTTATTTTAATATAAACCAGTCTCAAAGACATCTGTATATTTGAACATTTAAATTATTAACTTTTTTCTTATAAACAATGAAAGGAATTGCTAATAATATTACATCAGAGTTCCCCAATCTTTCTGACTTTGTGGACTGATCAGCGGTGGGGGGAAAAGATAGAATCCTATTCAGTTGCTAGGAATTCATCATAAAAAAAACCAGCATGCCAAGATTAGGTCTGTTTCCATTTTTGTATGTTTTTCATTTATTATTCCAATTTGGGCCAGGGTTGTGTCTGGTTGCTAATAAAACTACTCATTACANACTCTAGAAAAAGTGCAGAGAAGAGCAACAAAGATGATTAGGGGACTGGAGACTAAAACATATGAAGCATGGGTGCAGGAATGATAACAGTGTTCCAATATCTCAGGGGTTGCCACAAAGAAGAGGGAGGAAACTATCAAAGACAGAAGCAACTTAGAAATTTCCTGACAGTTAGAACAATTAATCAGTGGAACAGCTTGCCTCCAGAAGTTGTGAATGCCCCAACATTGGAAATCTTTAAGATGATGTTGGATAGCCATTTGTCTGAAACAGTATAGGGTTTCCTGCCTAGGCAGGGGGTTGGACTAGAAGACCTCCAAGGTCCCTTCCAACTCTGCTATTGTATTATATTGTATTGTATTATGGTGGCAAAATCTGCTGCCAGGTTTCAGCAATTTTTGAAGGTACCTCAGCTGCCACAGAAATTGCCTGAGGCCTCAGGCAGCACTGATGTTGCCGACTGTTACAAACATACATACCACCATACATCAAGATATTTTCTACTTCCCAATGAAATAGAAGAGGCAGCATGTGGAAAATAAATTATAACACACCAATTAATTACAAGCCAAGTCAGTCTCCTGGAACCCATGAAGTCTATAATAAAATTTAGAGATAATTATAGCATGCTTTCTTCATAAGCAGAATATTATTCAATTCAATTAACACTGTGCACCTAAGAAAAAGCTTCAGTGAAATCCTTCCAAGTACAAAATACACAACACATGCTTGCTACTACTAGAAAAAGTACATTTGACAAGATGGACCTTTGGGTCTGCTTGAGAAATAGTCTTTGTATATTCTTATACAGAAGATTGTGCTGCCAATCACACTGAGTGGGGAAATCCTGGAGTGACAGGAAGATTTCCAACCTTCTTTTTATTTTAAAAAAATTGCATCCTTATATTTGAATGAAATATCCTTTATTATTTAATGATTACATTTTAGGATGGCTATTTGAAGTCAGTTTCTTGCTTTGAAACATCAATTTTTAAAAAGCTTGGGGTTTTAAGTGAAGGAATGTAAATGAATGTCATTCCCCACTGGTTGTTTTGAATATATAACTTGTTATTTAAAGAAAATAACATGTAGCATAAAGCCTGTGAGTGAGTAGCAGATTCTGAAACCATATCCAGGAACCTATTCTTTTTCATACCTTTATTTTTGCATCAATGCCAGACTTTTCTATTCTCCATTGTGAGTTCTGCTTCTTCAGTTTCTCCAGGTCATTTAGCAGGTCAGCATAGCGTGTACTTAAACCCTCATTTTCCTTCTCCAGATTTTTTATAACCAGTCTGCTTTGCTCATCCTTTTTCTGTGCACACTCCTTGGTGTCCTGTACAACATTACCACGAGGGCCGATAAACAAAAAAGAGAGAAAATATTTTTAAAAAACCTGAGAACTAATCAGCAAATATAAACTGTGCAGATTTTACCCTCACAGCAGCTTCTTCTATATTTGATGGCCAAGGTCACCTGTGTACTTTTATTGGCCTCTTTCATGCAGGTGGAAGGGTCATATTTTTTAACTGGATGACAGCTTTGATGAGTACACATTTGCAAAGAGCCCATTAATTGATCAAACTGCCTTTGATGCTGTCCCCAGCTATTTTTGAGACCCACACAGACATATCCTCCCAGACCTCGGCTTTATCAATTAATAATGCCAGTCCCATCAGAATCTAATTACACGAAGCCACATCTTCACACTCCTCCTTTCTTTGCTCCATTTCCATCATTAACTATTTATTGGAAAGTTATAAAGTGTGGATTCTTCACTTTAAGGGATCTTTTCCCCAGTTTGGCATGTGTGAGGAAACTGAAAGGTACAATCTAAGGCCTAAGGCTATATTTCCTCTGAGCTTGTCACTTTCCATGCCACAGAGACAGGCCAGCAACTTAAACAGCAACTTCAAAGTTATGGCTATCTTCCTACTATGTGCAAGTCAATATACCTTAAGTTCTTGCATTACATCTTGAGAGTTCTGTAAAATGCAAAGCTCATTTTTTAAGGCAACATTTTCTTCATCCACAGCAATTTTCCTCTGCACCAGGTTGTTTATCTCCTCTTGTTGCCCACTTGTTCTCTAAGAAAGACAATTTAACAATACTTAAATAAAACAGGTAAAGAACATAATGCTCCAAAATAAAACTTCAGGCTATTTATTTAATAAATTCATCATTTTCAATGGTTAGATCATCCAGCTACGGACAATTCTGGGCAGCAAACAATAACAAAAATATGAAAAATAACGAGCCAAAGAAAGAACAATGGATCATCTGGAGGGGAAAGCCTACAACCAGGGGACTGGACTCCACTCACCCTACTACAAGGCCTGGGGAAGAACCAGGTCTTTAGAGTTTATTTGAAGGAGAGCATGGTAGGGATTATTTGATTGAGAAGGTTTTCTTCTGGGGTTCGCATCCAAAGAAGGGACCTGGAGCATGCAAACTATGTTGTAACATACAAAATGATGGGCAGTCCTTCAGATAAACTTGAATCATGAAAAACAGATGTTTCATCTTACACCTGTACCTGCTTGCAGTTTTAGATTCAGCATATAAATCTGTTTTTGTGCTGAATAAATATCAATTTTAATATTATTTGTTTACTGTATTCTCACTGGGCATATTAAAAGTATAAGATAATTGAAAGTGCTGGCAATATTAGAGATGTCAAATTTGCACAAATAAGAAACCCTGTAGTTTTACTTTACTATTAATTAATTATTATTATGAGATGCTTCAGAGCCAGATATTATAAGATAACTAGCCAGACCCATATTCAAGTGATATTGTTGGGGGCAATATGCTGACTCTCTGTAAACCGCTTAGAGAGGCCTGAAAGGCCTATGAAGCGGTATATAAGTCTACTGCTATTGCTATTGCTATTGCTATTTCTAAGTGATATTCAGACCCTTTAGCAGTCTTTCCAAATCAGTGGAAGCCAATGGATGCCTTGTATGAGTCCACTTGTGAATCCAAAATCTCATTTTAAAAAAGGATGAAACATGGTGATCATTAACAAATGGAGAATCTGAGAGGTTAAACTAAATACTACAGAAATATTTAAAATGCTGTATACTGTCAGTTTCATCTAACTGGCTAGAAATCAGGAAACTAAGGTTTTAGTTTTGTCTTAGACATAGAACAATGTCTTAGAACAATTGTCTTAGAACAATATCTGGACGGCTCTGGGCCAGTCACTCTGAGTCTGGTACTTGGTTTGGGTGACAAGCTTATTAGTCAATTCCTATTGCAACCAATGGATCAATACTACATTGATTTCCCCACCCTCCCTCAAAAAGAGGACTCTGCTCTTGCAGGAAAATGCTAGGAAGAAAGTAAATTTAAGGTGCTATATCTCTTATCAAGATAATTGATAATATTCTAATTCAGTACATTCCTCCATTGGCATGTTTTTACTTGGTCATGGGTCAGGACTTAGACAGAGACTAAAAAGAAGCTCCAGAATCCATAGAATGTCAACCTCAGGAGACACAAAGCCAAGAATCACTTCAGGTTGATAGAAAAACAAGCACTGCCTAACTGTAGCAGTCAAATGAGGATGACATAAAGCTGTCTAGCCCATACGCCAGTGAGAGAGAAGATCAGAGCTGTTCTTTAAAGTTCTTGCCAAACAAGGGAGCATATCTCTTGATTAGTCACAGTTGACTACAGCCTAATTTAAGAGGCAGCCATGACCCTTGTTCCTTTGCTGAGAGGAAAACCAACAATAGTGACAAATATCTGTAGGTTCAGATATTCAAGCTTGTGAGTTGGTTTCCAAACATTTCATTATCAAGCTGGGAAACATCTTCGGTGGAATTTAGGAGGTGTCAGTGTTCTTTTAGAAGGATTTCATTTGGTCAGTAGGTCTTGTGATGATGAAAGTCAAATGAGGTTCACATCAGGTCAGGGTCTTGTGGTGGGTCTTGTGATGGGTCAAGTGTGGATTACAAGTGAGAGTCTTGTGATGGGGATGTTATGTCAGACGAGGGACATTGGGAGATGAAGTGCTGGTTCCTAGAAATCTACGAAGAGCAATAATTCACAAACCCATAGTCACATTCCACCAGGAAGTATCCAGAACCAACTATAAGATACAGAAGGATGAAAGAAACAATGTAATTTACAAAATCAACTAAAAATTGCAACCAATTCTGTGTGGGACAAACATCATGTCAATTAAAAACCAGGATCCATGAACACTGGCTGACAGGCAAATGTCACTAAATCCCTAATCTCTACCCACACTGACACAAAACAGCATCAATTTGATGGGAGCAGTACAAGAATCATCAGTCATGCTACCACCCACCACACTTGTGAGTTTATAGAAGCCTGGCACTCCACAAGCAATTTCATTAACAGACACATTGACTTACAATCAGCCTACGAACCCCTCACAATTCAAATCAACTGCACAGCCAATCCACGCAAACCCTCCCCAACCAGCACTTTACCTCCCAATTACCCTCACCTGATGTAACCTCATCACAAAACTTTCACTGGTGACCCAACTGACCCACCACAAGATCCACCATAAGAACCATCACAAGAACCTCACCTGATGTGACTTAACCATCATAAGACCTACTGACCACACAAAGCCCTTATAAACGGAAATACACTGACACGGACATCCTCTAAATTCTGCTAAGATGTTACTTAACCTGGTAACGAACTGCTTGGAAACCAACCCATAAGGTCAGAGAACAAACTTCCACCCTCAAAACCAACCTCAAAACCTCTGGTTCTTGCATGACATTTGTGTGGAGTCCACCAGTGGAATGATTTGACTTATGGACCCTGGACTGATTCTGGACTATTCTTATGCACATTCCTGTTAAAAAGGTAACCATTTAGGTAAGCTGTTTTCTAGGCATTATAACAATCATCATAGCATAGGATCTCATTTGGCTCTAAATATGAATATTGAGTTATACAAATTATTTCCATCAGAATAATTTAATGGAATTAGGCTTAACAGATAGCATGTTTGCATTCACTGGTTTGTAATAATAATATCCAACTTTTATTGGAGGAAAAACATAGAGGCAGTAATAATCTAAGAAGGAACCTAGATAAACTGAATTGGAATTTGTATAAACTTGTATCAATGGCTTTAATATTTTTTTATGTTTAATAAACTCCTATAATCATACAGATTTTTGACAGTTTACAGTACCTAAGAGCAAAAAACACGAAGATGGTAATCAACCTTAAACCATATATAGTAAACATAAAAAAGAAAAAGCCAGAGTAAAAAATAAAAACTAGAGAAAGTAAAGATGCATTGTTAAACAATATCACTGAAAAGACACTGCAACCAGTGCATGAGTCTTTCATACTTATTTTAAAATGCTGCGTTTCTTACAACTTTACATGATATTATTAATAATATCTAATAACCAGATCCTTTCATTTCAGGAAATAGTCCCAAATTACTGTAGCATTTTATTGAAACTCCATGTTTCAGAAAATAATAAAATTACTAAACTTTATTTTCAAGATATGAAAACTGTATAAATGAATTAGATAAAAATTAAAAACAGAAATATTAATCTTAAGTAAAGCTGAAAGCTTGACTTAATACTGCTTTCAATTGTGCCCATTAACAAAAGCTTTAATATAGATTTGCACAGCAAGCCAAATATTTTCTAGTTTAGAAATAATGAGGCTGCTACTATTATTTTAACCCCTTTGGAGTATAATTGGCTGATAAGGTTTTGAAAGATTGCAAGGTCTAGGACAAAAAGATTAGTTTTAGTCTCTTCAGATCAAAACTGGAAGCTAATTAAATAGCATTGTTGCAAAAGGGAAGGTCTACCATATTTTTATCCATCCTTAATTTTTCTCTCCTGAGAAAAACAAGTATTTTTTTTCTTCCCAGTTATTTGGATATTAATATTAAGGCCACCAAATACAGAAAAGGAATACAACATATGGCATAATGATGTATCAATTGGAGTTGGACAACATAAAATTAAATAAATTATATCCAGCTTATTTCATGAAGTAAGGTATTTTTAACCATGATTTGCTGAACAAGCCATAATACCTTCATTCATACCTATCACCAAGCGACTAAAAGCAGTTTTTTTTAACCAAAGTCCTAGTCAGTGATTGGCATTAGGAAATAATTGTCTTCAACCTAACTGCAAAATTGCACTAGTACTCTGAGCAGAAGAGATGATAAAATAATAAGGTTAACAATACAAGATTCTGTCAGCATACAAAGCACACTTTTTCAGACCTCACACTTTGTAATCTTGCAGCTGTGCAAGCATTCTAAAGAACAGGGGCCCAATCAGTCTTTAGGTTATCTTCCAAAAGTTATCTTATTTCAACTGTTTTACATGTGCCTTACTGTATTTCAAAGTGTATTCATTTCAAACTGTATTTATTATTACTGTATCTACTTTATAAACTATTCATTAGGTTCTAAGCCACTTTGTAGAAGCTTTCATTTGGAAAAATAAGTTCATTAACATATATAAATAGGTCCGACAACACCGATTTTAGCAGTAGTATTATCTTGTATAATGAAAACACTTGTTCCACCTTCCAAGGCACAAATACATCAATTAAGTTTATCTGCATTTGCTCATTAATATACTGCATTTGCATGTCTTAAAATGAGGATATGATAGGAAAATAGGAAATCCCTTCAAATGAAGGCAATATAAAAATGCAATAAAAAAAGGTTTTCCACAGGTATAAGCTCCAGTATTAAATATGATTGCTACAAAAATATCTGAACAGCAGTTTTTGGGATGGCATAACTAGTACTGTTCAAAATTCTCATATTATATCTAAAGCTCACTTTAATTCAGTAGCTTATGGAAGAATGGAAATGAGAATGTAACCTTAAGAGAATAAAATATAAATGTATCTTTGATCACTGTCAAAAAGAAGACCCAATCACTTACATTTCAAGAAAGTAGATTGTGGTTGGACATGAATGAAAATTTCATAGTGGTAAGAATGGAACGGAACAAGACAGGACATATCAGCAATAGCGAACCTTTTTTGGCTTGCGTGCCATAAGTGGGGGGAGCGCAGGGGGGTTGTGTATGGGCGT